TTGAGTGTGTGTAATGATGGGTTTTGGGTGTGTTTATAAAGTGTTTTGGGTGTTGGGTTTTTTTTATAATTTCAGCTCCCATTTTGGGTGTTTTAGTGAAACTCCCAAGAAAATAATCCCAACGTTGAGATTAATAATAATATTCCCGCTAGCTTTTGGGATTTGAAATAGAAATAGTTTGAGAGTTTTTCCATTTAAACCTCACACTTTTCTTTGTTCACTTTAATATTTAAATTATTAAATTTTATTATTGTATAAAATGACAAAAAATGTTAACCAACTTAGTACTTAACTATAGTATATCTATATGCACATCTACACACTCTATTATTATATTACTCTTCTCTTTTAATCTAAAAAACCTACTACACTCTCATCTTATATTCACAAACCATAAATAGTGGCTTGTGGATCGTTAATTGAGTTTGACAATAATGTTTTTATCTCTTTAAATAATATGAGATTGAGTTAAACTTAGAATGGTGATGGACAAGATAACGAGGTGTGAAGTGTGGGATGTGAGGTTGATGAGTTTTTTACTCTCTTTTTTTCCTACTGTGTGTGTATTTAGGAATATTTTTAAAAAATAATTGAGTTTTCTTAGAAATTGTGAAAATTTAAATTAGAAGTTGGGTCGAATGAAAAAAAGTACGAGATTTAAATAGAAAAAGTCTAGTTTAATTAGCGAGCAATAATTTTGAAACTTTTGTCGTGTTGTTCATTTGTTACACATCACGTCCTGTGACTTGTGTGTCGGTCCAATCAACATATAGTAATCAGAAGAAAGAAAAAGAAGCCAGAATATATAACTTCCTGTATGATTGCAATAATGTTTCATCAGATGACATAGCTATTGAATCTAATCTTAGGCAACATCTGGGGAGGGGATCCCTCCCTCTCTCCTCACTCAAACCAACATGCCTTTTCTTTTCCTTCAGCGGCGATCGCTCAATATTTTCATGCAAATTCACCAAAACTTTATTATTATTTTTTTTTTGGGGGACAAGCGAAAAAGAAGCCTGTTGTGCATGTGGGGCTAGCCTTGCATTTTGAAAGCAACAAGTAATTCACTAATGAAACTGGACCATCTGCAGTAGCAGCAATGCCAGAGACAAATATTTAATAAAACAAACAACCTGTTTCTTTTGTTATATATGCATATGAATCTCATACCCGCACACAAAGAAAGCAGTCACAAAATGCGGCTGAGCTTGCTTGTAGAATATTCAAGAAATAGACATTGCGAATTATACAGCTTCAACACTTTAATACTGCATACAAAATGTAAATGTGGGATTATTCTACGCCTAATCAATAATAATGATCTGCGTTGACATTCAACGGCAGACTCGACTGAAGGTTCATGCTAATTGCACTGACCCAAGACATTGAATATTATCGAATGCGTGCACGTCTCTGCAACCAAACCTAGCCTGACTCCCTCTAGTCTCTCTCAATTTTGCCATGAGTTTTCCGTGAAGTAAATGGCCATCGTGCTTGTATTGTGTATATAAATTAATTGCACTTATATATACAAAGTTTGAGGGGGATAGACGATCCACGCGTGTATATTACAAAAAAGAAGAAGAAAAAGAAAAGGCAACCAACGTGGATGACATTTTTAAGCTTATTATTATAGTAGTCAAGATGATGATAATGAATCATGGTGGCAGATGGCTCACTCACCACTCACAAAACTGACAGGTTTTATCTACATATAATGCCTCTAGATTAATTTTTTATGTAATTAATTTGCATGATATCATATCATCAACTTATTCACAATCAACCTAATTAAAAGGCTAAAAGAAAATCTGAAAGAAGCAAAAAAATTAAGGACAGCGACCAAGAAAGAGGCCACACATCATTATTCATCTCAATTATATATATATATATATATATGTACAAGATCAATACAAAGGGAACCGCAGGGCCTTCAACCAGCGTTACAAGATAATATTTCATATTCAAAATCCGATAAATGAACAGAGTCTTCAAAATGGTTACTTAGCGTGACTCGTGGCTCGTGGGGATAAAACTGACAGCAGTCTGCATGCAGATGCAGATCTCTATCTATTAGTTCATGAGCTGAGACATAATTAATCAATATTTAGGGATGCATTTGTCGACCATCCATGCATGCACCCATGTGAAAATATCACTCAAAATCCGTTTCCATATATATGCTTATGCACTGCATATGCAGCCATATGGGCCAATATAGCTATTTTGAGTGAAGGACAGAAAAACAAGCACACAAGCATATATGTTTATGTGTTGTTGTGGGACACTCCCACTCAACAACACAGGACTCGAGAAGGTGACCTGAACGGTGAACCAGAAAAACTCCCCCACCACCTCCTTTTTTATTTTCTCATTTTTTAATATTCCTGTTTGCTCCTTGCTTGCTTTAAGTACATATTCAATTGAGAGTGATTTTGAATAGACTAATAATCACTTATACGAAGAATCAATTTTTCATAAAATTACTTTACAGAAAAGCACCTGAAGATGTTTCTCCCTAAAAGTAATTATGGTCCCAAACGAACCGTTAATGAAGCCCATGATTAGTGCTTGACAAATTGACATTACTTAAATCGAGTGACACTGCGTTTCAATAAAAAATAAAAACTGTGGGTGGGATTGGGAAATTAGTGATTGACAAATAGCATGCTTGGAAGTCATAACCAAGATGCAAGGGCCTGGTCAGCTGTTTCTCTGAGTGACAGACCAAAAGGATGCAGGTGCAGCCGCCCAAACCCAATTTGCAGTTCCTAGCAATTTCTCAGCAGCCAGTGACCAGTGAGGGTGGTCTCTGATGTATTATATATGTTGCACACCACAAAAGACTCAACAGATTTTCTGAGACTTGACTCTTGTTCACAGAATTAAGCTGAAGCTGCCAATGCCATACGAATTTCATATCAGTTTCCTTCCTTCCTCTGTATAATAGATAACTTTTATGAGTGGAAAGATAACTCACTCACTGTAATTATTGGTGGTGGTGGGGGACAATCTAAGATATTTATGAGAAATTATATATTTTTATATACAAGTTGGTGTTGTTGGTCTCTGAAGACAAAGAAGGCAACGTATCCATTTCCATTGGAAAGCGATCTTGTTTGTTTAGCGGCTACAAGTTAAGTCACCATTACAATTTGCAATCATCGACTCGATCGCTCTGTACACTGTAGACTGTATCTGTGGTCATAAATCAAAATGCATTGCTACAACACCTATTAGTATTTAGTAATAGTATTAGCCGCAAATATTATTATCTCACCGACTCTTACCCTTGCACAATAGACCGACTTAAGTTCACAGATAATAATATATTATTGCCTTGTGAAAAATAATCAACTTTCGGGGTCAAACTTCACAAACCAATCATCCATTAGAAAAATAAATAAAACACTTCATCTCTTTTAGCAGTGTTTTATGATTTGGAAACAAGCGAAATTAAGAAAATGATTAATTAATTTAAAACTTCCAATACAAAATACATTGCCCTCGTGTTTCCTCCATCTGAGATTGGATTATGAATTTATAATTGAGATATTTAGTGATATACTCATTCTTAGCACTAATATTATAAATAAACTCTACACCATTGAATTTCTATAAACAAACCCAAAAAAAATTCAAAAAATTACAGCTGACCTTATTGAATTTAATATTGATTATTAAATTACTTTGATATCCTATTGAGTGTTTTGGGTATTTTTATAAGATTTTCGGGTTGAGCTTGTTTTAATAATAATACAAGAAAGTAAATTTAGGTTTTAACTATAAAAAACTTTCACTTTTGAAAAAAGCCAAAGCTTTTTAAAAAAAGACAGAAAAACCTCTTAATTTTTAAATCAAAGACATGCAAATGTAAATGATTCCTTAGAAAATTCAAAAACAAATAAGGGCAATTTTGTCTATTTTGGCTTCTTTTAAAAAATTTCTCTCTCCTTTTGCTTTTTCCAATTTTGTAATTTACAAGAAGTTAAAAACCTTTTTGTTATGTTGTAAATAAACTTTAGGTATATTTTTAAAGTCCATTTCATATGAAATATTTTTATAATTTGAGTCTCTATATTAAATATAATAATAAATCTCCCTTTATAACTTACCGTATACATAAATGAGGTCCTCGTTCATCCCCTCAGGGCATAGGCTGACTTACCAACTGACAACGGGAAATCGAGGAGGGCCCACCTTCAATAATGGATACACACGTCAGTTCTGGAATGGGTAGCTTTGAAATGCATTTCACCTTTTGAATATACTGGCACGTACATGAAACCAACCCAACTATGCTATTATTAAGGAATCAACGGGACATTCTTTTCACGGTCAAATCACCACAACTCATCCTTCAGCCTTATTCTTTTTATTTTTACCTAGCAAAGTGATATTTTAAAGGGAGTTTCACTAAAACACCCAAAATAGAGGTTGAAGTTATAAAAAAACCTAACACTCAAAACTCATTTATAAACACACCCAAAAAGTTGACTTTGTGGTTGATTTTGGGTGTGTTTCTATGTTTAAATAGTGCTTGGATTTTTTTATAAATACATGTCTAAGATTGAGTTAATTTATAAATTTGTATATTTTAAATTACTCTGATGTACGTAAAAAAAAAAAATCAAATTCAACACTAAAAGAGAGAGTATACATAATATACACTATCTTAATCAACTAACTTAATACATATCTAAACAAATAAAATTAGGCTCCAATCCAACTCCCGTGATTTTATTACTACTTAACTCTCTTATGGCATTTACCCATCACATATCATCGTCACCAAATTCGGAGAGAGCTTATCACAAAATAAGCCTGTGGCCCACAGAATTAAAAGAAAAAAGGGCCTAATACGGCAAAAATACCCACGAGGACAAAAACGTAATAACATTCTTTTGCCCCGCTGTCCGCTGCCGAACGGAAAGCCTAACACGTGTCAGTAATCCATTACGTCAAAACCACTACCAGGCAGTTCGGCTGTGACACGTACCCACCTCGAAGTGGCCTCAAGCCCGTGTGATCCACGAAACCCCATAGGCGTGTCAAGATCGTAATTTTGCACACCAACACCATTATATAACCAGACGCCATGAAACGGGGAAAAAGAAAATACAGAAAAAGAGATTTGAGGCTAGAGGAGCTCTGCTGCTCGGTGGTCCTTTTACAAACCCTCAAATTTAAGCAATCTTAGCAAGCTGAAGGTGGTTAGGGAATGCAGAGAGATGAGAGGAGCATCGCTGCACAAGCCTGAGCTATCTGTACGTGCCAAGCGCTGCATCGGCGGCAGGAATTGCCACCGAAAACACGTAGAAGACGGGTGACCCATTCGCCCCAGTTGTTTTTCGTAACTGTTAAATTTTCATCAAACACCTCAGCTTCATTTTTTTAGTTAGTTTTATTTTAGTCACTGTTACCAATGGCGGATGAAAAAGGCAGAGATGGCTCCTCGTTGCTCCACGGCAAGTACGAGCTGGGCCGTCTTCTGGGTCACGGTACTTTCGCCAAGGTCTACCATGCCAGGAACTTGAAGAGCGGGAAAAGTGTGGCCATGAAAGTGGTGGGCAAAGAGAAGGTAATCAAAGTTGGGATGATGGAGCAAATCAAGAGAGAGATCTCCGTCATGAGGATGGTCAAGCACCCCAACATCGTCGAGCTCCACGAGGTCATGGCCAGCAAGTCCAAGATCTACTTCGCCATGGATCTGGTCCGCGGCGGCGAGCTCTTCGCCAAAATCGCCAAAGGCCGGCTCAAAGAAGACGTGGCCAGAGTCTATTTCCAGCAGCTGATCTCAGCCATCGATTTCTGCCACAGCCGCGGCGTCTACCACCGGGATCTGAAGCCGGAGAACCTCCTCCTGGACGAGGATGGCAACTTGAAAGTCACTGATTTTGGGTTAAGTGCTTTTTCCGAGCACTTGAAGCAAGACGGGCTTTTACACACCACTTGTGGCACGCCGGCTTATGTTGCTCCGGAGGTGATAGGCAAGAAAGGGTACGACGGAGCCAAGGCCGACCTCTGGTCTTGTGGGGTCGTTCTCTATGTGCTTCTCGCCGGATTTTTGCCGTTTCAAGACGATAATCTGGTGGCCATGTATCGGAAGATTTACAGAGGAGATTTCAAATGCCCGCCCTGGTTTTCATCGGAGGCCCGAAGGCTCGTGACGAAGCTTCTGGACCCCAATCCCAGTACGAGAATCACCATATCCAAGGTCATGGAGTCATCATGGTTCAAGAAATCGGTGCCGAAGATCGTGCGGACGAAACAAGAGCAGGAATTCGACGAGACGAGCGAGAAGATAACGTGGAAGCAGACGGAGACGTTGAACGCGTTTCATATCATATCGTTGTCGGAGGGGTTCGATTTGTCGCCGTTGTTCGAGGAGAAGAAGAGGGAGGAGAAGGAGGAGCTGCGTTTCGCTACGACGCTGCCGGCGAGCAGCGTGATATCGACGCTGGAGGAGGTAGCGAAGGCTGGCAAGTTCAGGATCAAGAAGAGCGACTCTATGGTGAGGCTGCAGGGGGAGGAGAGTGGACGGAAGGGGAAACTGGCGATTGCGGCGGAGATATTCGCGATGACGCCGTCGTTTCTGGTGGTGGAGGTGAAGAAGGACAATGGTGATACGTTGGAGTACAACCAGTTCTGCAGCAAGGAGCTGAGACCGGCGCTGAAGGACATCGTGTGGATGTCCCCAGAGGACAGTTCGACGGCTGATTGATTGATATAAGAATTAAGATTATAATTTGTTGTGATTATTGTTATTGTTGTTGTTGTTGTTGTTTCAATTAATTAAGTTGAAATTGAAACTGGGTGTCTGGGTCTGGGCTTTTGGGGCTCTGGGGCTCTGGGGCTTGTAGCCGAAGCCTAGCCACTCATTAAGCAAGCAAGCTGTCTCTGGTTTGTTTTTGTTATGGCTGTGTCTCTTCTGTTTGTGATGGTGGAAGAAGTAAACTGTGAATTGATTTGTGAAATTAGCGAAACTCGCAGCGCTGCCTACGCTTATCCTCTCCTCTCTTTTATCTTGATATCAAGAAATTCAATGCATCCATTCAAGTTATTATTTTTTCTTTTTGTTTGCATGGATAGAATTACAGATTTGGTATTGAATATTACTTGTCCATGAGCAAAATGAGTTATTCCATAAGCAGTTGTTAACATTCATAATCAATTATGATCTGATATATGTGGTATGAGATAACGTTGCCCTTGCTTCATTGATCCTTGACACTGAATATGATCCCAGTTTCAGTGTGTGCTCATAAAAATAAAAGAATCCTGCCTACTCATCATCCCATGCTATGAGTTAATTAGAAACTAAAATTGCGAGACGTGAATTAGGCCAATTCGTCATGATAATCAACTCACGGATTCCTTGCATTTTAGTTTAAATATTAATTTAGAATAATCTAAATTAACGTTTGTATGAAAATAAAAGAAATTCAAAGTGGACTCTGAATGATCAAGTGTCCCTAGGGTAGGGCCAGCTATCACCTATGCTATGCCATCATCTATCTCCTCAGCCTCAACTCAATCAACAACAGCTAGGACCTTTAACCTTTGTTGCTGTTGTTGTTGTTGTTGTTGTTGTAGGCGCCCATCAGTAATTGTAATTTAGGAACAACTTACACAAAATAATACGAAAAGACAGCCAAGTGTCTGTTGGTGTTGCTGATGATCATACTGGGGAAGGCCACTTGCTCTTCTTTTTAACATTTTTTTTCTTTTATTCCACTCAAATCATCTATCTATTCTTCTATCAATCACTAATTGTAATTAATAGCTAGCTTCTTAATTAATTCACGCTAATAACAACATAATAATGATGATTGCTTGACTTATATATGCAGCAGCAGTAGCACACTTGAAATAATCCCTCTGTCTAAGGAATCTGAGGAGAAGACAACATCTACCGATGATGCACCAACACCTACCCTGCTTAAGCATGATCATAATTACAAAGCCGGGGTTCACTCTTTGATTAATTACTACTAAACTGCTTAATTATGAAAACAATAAGGTGATGAATGATTGCTACTGATTAATTTAGCAGTGCAGCTCTGCTCTTCATATTCATGATTACTCTTACTTTCTTGTGTGTACGCAGCAGTGTATGTATCTCTATCTCTCAGCGACAGAGCCAAGTAATTAGGGTTGCTCTTGCTTGGTGAGATTATTATTGTAGACTTGTCACTGTCCGAACAAATAATGGCTAGCTAGCTAGGTAAGGTAAGGTAAAGTTGATGGATAGTTGCCTTTGGGTGGGTGGTGGATCATCAATATGCCATCATGGCATGTGCCACCACAGTGTTATGTTTCTGCTATGAAAAAATAACAACATAATTATATCGCAACTCAATCATGTTAATATCATATTCATCAAGAATCCAGACAATACAAGAAGTTAAAAAACAACCTACGTCACCAATAAGGGTTAATTGAGTTGATAAGGACCGTTGTCAACAATCCATCTTGATGAGTAATCTATACAAATCCAAAAAAATGGCTAACACTCTCTCTATAAGTCCTAAAAGAGATCTAAGTATGCCCTGACCTTGAGATAGGATAGCCTCTTAAACTTTCCTTCACCAAAAAAGAGATAACTTACGTCTCTTAAGAGGATTTTGTCATCAATATATATATATATATATATATTTATGTATATGTCTATACATGATTCTTTGTGTCTGCAATGAAAAGATTATCTCCTTCCTTGGATTGGATATATTAATTATCACAAGAAGAGAGCCAAATTCTGATTCATAGAAGAAGAGAGTTGGCCTTTTTATCAACCTAAAAGTCTCCTTTCTGACTTTTCAAGAACAGGCACACGCACAGGCAGGCCACATGGCTGGTTGGCTTTCAGATGGGCCTATTTCCCATCAACTTTCCAATAAGCCCAAATCCACCTTAGCCTTTGAGTTTGGGCCTTCTTTTTGGGGTTTAAAATGGTGTATTCAATTAGGATTCTAGAGTGTTTAAAAAGATTTTGTTTAAATACCAACTTTCATAGAACTTGATAGAACTTTAGAATTCGTATAGAACTTGATAAACTTTCAGAAGACTTCTATATAATTTTTTAATAAACTTTCTTAAGATTTGTATGGCTTTTATTACAGACTTCTATAATTTTTTTAGCTACTATGGTTCCTTGTTCTTTGTAGTCGTAATGAGAAAACTCCAAGCGCAACATCTTTCAAATTCAAAAATAGATAGACACTACTACAATTCAGTTAATCCACGACTCAAAATAGACGACAGTGCACTTTAAAACCGTCGTCGTGTTTTAAAAGACGACGGTTTTATAAAATCGTCATAGTATATCATCTTATACACTACTAAAGTGGAGTTGCGCTGGGTTGATTTTTAAAACACAACACTTGTCAATTAACAAGCGTCGTCTTTTAAAACACGCTAAACAAAAGGGGCAGCTTAATCTCTACCTAAAATTCAAATTTCTCCGTGTCTATGTGAAAATCTTATCTCTCCCTCATTGAAACCTGTTGAGTTCCTCTCTCCTTCCTTGAAACCCTCCTGAGCTCTCTGAAACACTCCCCCTCTCACTTTTCTACTCCTCATGCGTACCTACCAACCATTGACACCGCAATGCCATTGACACAGCTGCGCTGTCGATGCCATTGTCTTCTTCGCATCAGTCACCACTAGCTGTCATCGACGTCATCTTCATCCCAGACTTCGCCGACACTTGCAAACTGACGTCGTGAGGTCGACACCACCACCAAGAAGACATACAAACTCTTATAAGGTTGTCAATTATTTCAATTTTCTATCTAGTGATTCAATGAACAATTCTTATAAAGTCGTATATAGATATTTCAGAAGAAAAACAAGTATAAACCCTAGTAACAAGCATAAACCCTAACCCCAAACTATAACATAATAACAAGGAAAACACGACGAAGAAAAATCATCGAAAAAGAAAACCTAACGAAGTATTGATCAAAGAAAAAATAAGGAGCATACCTTCACATATAGAGGAAGGAAGTTGTTCGTCTTATGTTGCAGAGAGAAAAGCTAGGGTGAGAGAAAAATGTCTGATGAAATACTTGGGGGGAGGTTGGATTTATTATTGTCTTTGTTATTTATAGCTCTCCCCTTAAAACCTACGAAAATTTATCACTTAATAAAATCCTTCCAAATATATGACCTTTCGAATACACCTAGATTTGATTCAACTTTTTTATAATCCTAATTGAATACACCCATTTGAATGGACTTTTTAAAAGTTCATTCATGTCGGAATTGAATAAACCCAGACTTGTAAAACCACTTTTAAAGTTTGTATAAATCCAAATTGAATACACTCGGATTTTTAAAATCTTTTTAAACGGTTTATAATCTTAATTGAATACACCCCTTGAGAAAACATCAAGAGAGTCTTCCACTCGCAGAAGATATCAAATTCGACTCACTAAAATCAAATGCATGGATAATATATTGTCTGTAAAATATCTTATCGTTTGGATAAGAATTGGGAAAAGAAAAAATACACAAACAGAAACTATCTGTAAATTTATAGTCTTAGAAAGGCCGAGACCTTGAATTCCCCTCCAAAGCTTTTTGCAGAGCAATGCTCATATGATATCGATCATGAGCTTTGAGATTGCAGCTTCCTCGCGTCTCAGGAATTCTAGGTGCCAAGCTAAACCCTTTCGCTGATCCCAAACCCTTTGAACTTCGAAGAGACTGATGTTCTGTTTCCTATGCATGCTCGCACCAACAAAGAGTAATTTCTGCACTATACAAAGGAAGGTAAAGTCAATAATATTACATTATATACAAGGACTGCCAGGGCATTAATTTTTAAACCAACACAAAATGATGGCGAGTTCTAGTTATAAATCGGCCAATTACATTATTACGCCATGATCAACATCACTTCAAGGGAAAAAAAAGCTAAAAGAAAAGCATTTTTACCATTTGCTTCATCAGTGCTAAGCCAAAAGACGAAAGGTAAATTGGAAGCTCGCAATTCAGCGCAGAAGCCATCACTTTAAGGTGGCTTGATAGTACATCCAAACCTGAGTGTTCAAGTTAGAAGGGGACAAAAAGTACACATTGGTCAAACACTGATACCCATCGCCTGTATATCTTCGAAACTAGAAACGAAAACACACAGCAATCAGGTTTTGAGTGGAACATAAAACAGGATTTGATAGGTAACCCTAAAATGCTGCATATGCGGTACAGAGAGTACTGGTTTTGCAAACTTTCCAAATTCAAAACATTATTTACTCTGGCTAAAGCAAGAAGTACCAAAATTATCAAGTTGTCCTTGCTTGGGAACAAAAGCAGATTGCAATTTGTGGTCATGGCCTAGACAGTTTTTGAAATGAAGATCTGGTTTCTATCATGATTAGGGTTGATACTCTAAACTTAAACACTTTCAGCTCATTTCTGCACAGTTGCCATCATAGAACCCATAAAACTTTTCAGGGACTAGAATGCATAGCATTTAATAGGAAGCAATTAAACCCGCCAATGATTGAGAATCATGTAGTGAGAGATATAGAACGAAAAGGAAAAAAGAAGCATTAAGCCTTTGTTGCGAATAAGGTGCTAGAATGTGATAGATACACGCAATTGAGAATAGTGTGCAAAGGATATAAATAAAACAGAAAAGCAAGATCAAACCTTCTCCAACACTACACAATGTTAAAATTTAGGTATAGAGAAGATGAGGAAAAGATGAAGGAAAACAACGGATGATGATTGTTCAGGTTATACGGCCTACATCCGCAGAATAAAGGGCCAAAGGGGTGACATGCATGTTAATATCTATGGAGAACAGTACAGTAGAACCCAAACTTGAGAGTTAAATACAAGTAATTAACATTGTAATATTAATGTAAGGCAGAATAAAACTTTTAAATCATACAAATTCCATGACCCCACAGAAGGTATATTCCGATTGGATCAGAAAAAAGAAAAAAAAAAAGGTATATCCTGATGCAATATCCAAGCCAATTAACTCTGACCAAACAAGACCAACATGATGGAGCACCAGATGGTGGTGGTGCTCAAACCTGGGATAGGCCTCGAGACAAACATCAGGTATACCATCGCAACTAAAAATCATCATTCACATGCACTGGCGGATCCAGGAATTTTTAAGCGGAGGTGCAATTTTAAAAGGCTAAAAACTCTTTGTAGATTGAACATCTAAGGCTTTTTACCTAGATTGACCTTAGGTCCCTTCATGCATTCATATCATACATGAAAAATTGTTTTATGTAAAAATATTGACTAAGTATGAAAAATGATTTTTCGAAATAATCATTTTCTCAAGATAATTTTTGGCGGCTTTTATTCCTTACACATCAAATAAGAAAACTCGATTTTATGGGATTTTATTATAAAGTATATATTGACTTAATGAGCTATCATTTTTAGCCTAAATCATATTTTGTACTAAAACCGATTTTTCAAATTTTGATTTGGGGGGAATTTGATTTTCTAGTATTTTTATTTGAATCCAAATGGAGGGTACTTCCTTATTTACATTGTAAACTTAAGTAAATGGAGTAATATAAAAATAAATGAAAGTAAAAAGACAAAGACATTTACTTAAATGTTGAAGATGGAAATAAGGTAATCTGTACACCACCACCAACTAAGCAAAGGGGCAATTTCAAACACTTACAATGGTTTTTCTGGCCAGAGAAGGTGCAGCTGCACCTCCTTGCTCCTTAACAGATCCGCCAGTGTTCACATGGAAGCAGGTCTAAAAACCAAAAAAGTGACTACTGTACTCCTATTCGATTACAATGTTATAAGCACCGAATATCCCACAAACTTAATCAAACCATTTGATTTCAATATATAAATTATGACCAATCATGATAAAATTGACCAAGGCTAGGACTAGGAGTACTTTCACTTAGATGTCATAATCGTTACTACCTTTGTTTCCCACAACTGCGAAATTACTTGCAGTCATTCTATTTGCATCCTTTCTTTGATTATTCAAGATTCTTTCAAGATAACCACAAAGCTTAAAATAATTTTGCATTATTCATATTTGGACTCAAAAGGAAAAATATGACAAAGAAAAGCAAGTCAAGCATTCTTCAAATTTTATCAAATCAAGCTTTCAACATCTACGGAATGTATTGGATCTAAAAATCAACATAGAACTTCTAAAAAACAACAGAAACATATAATGCAATTACCTTTGTTTTTACCTGAAAGTTCTAAATCGTCAGTGCTTATTCAAGCGTCATTAATTCCTGTCCTATGTGGCAAGAAACCGTCCTACAAAAGTTCTGAATTTACACAATGTGCCTACAAAAAAGCTCAAGAGTATAGTGGACTATAGTCTCCAATAATTAGCAAATACCAACAAGATAGAATCAATAGCAACAGCGAGAACATGTATTAAATGAGCCTCTCAATACTAGTTTCTCCCAACAAAACAAAAAAAAAAAGGTGGCTGTGCAGAGCTGGATATTAAAGGTATAACATAAAAATATATGTAAGAAACAGTACCCGAGATGAAAAAATTAATTTGTGAAGAACAGAAAGTTAATGTTATTCAAATCAAGTCCAGAGAAAGAGGGTATCTCATGTCATGCTTACTACTAATGTGTAATCAATGTATTAAATCATCTTCAATGACTCAAGTTCATTACCAACTTCTCATTCCCATTATTAAAAATAAAATAAAAAGTGTTCTCCACCTCTTGTCCTATTTCCCCACCCATCTTATCTTCCCACCCACTATGTAGATTTGAAAAATACACGATCCTATCTTTCCACCCAAGATTATTCCTAAAATATCATTTAATTATTAATTCAAGCAAACTCTCTTTGCTAATCATTAGTAGTTGAGATATGGAGAGGATCAAGTTTTCTTTGACAAACTAGATAAATGTTTTAGTCTATGATGAAAAACACTACGATTTCCTTGCCTTTTGGCTGGAATCGTTATCTTTAACATCCATTCTCTTGTTGTTTTCTTCTTCAGAAACAATTTGATTGAATAACATAAGAGAGAAGAAAATTGTATGTCAAACAGTAGAATTGGTGGGTTACGTGAGTTGACTTTTTTTCCCGAAGTCCATAGAAGTCATTTTACAAAGGGATAAATTTGTCTTTAAAATTTTGAAGATAAGGTTTTTTTTGGTGGGGAGAGAGGGGAGGGGGGGGAGAGGGGAATAGGATAGGGGTGGAAATAACAGCACTAAAAAAAATTCTCAACTAGTCACCCATTCTAAAAACTAAACCAACATAGTTAACCAAGGAAAACGCCTAGCAACTCGTTTTTGGTCTAGTGGTAGTTGTCTCCACTTGGTTAGTGTAGGTCTCAAGTTCAACATCACATGGATGCAAATGCAATATAATCCTCTGCTGGGTTTGATGCCAAGTTTTGGCTTAGCTTTGTTGTGAGTGTGTGTTGGACTGTTGTGAAGGTATCTCTGAAAATATATTTAGTTTTGTAAAAAAGAAACAATAAACAAACACACACAAGAGGTTGGACTTAATGAATTTCTTCAACAACTGAAAAAAGGATTTAAAATCAAATTTAGAGATTACAAACCCACATATATGAAAACAGAAGAAAAAAAAGTGATCGAAAATAAATCAATAAATTAAGTATCATGAATACTAAGGAGATTACAAGTGTTACCTTGATGATTAACATTCTGCAAACGAATGGAAGCATAAATCTGCTGCCCCAGACGCCAAAAAAAAAAAAAAAAAAAAAAAAAAAATCCTGTCAAAAATAATTTCAAAACATAATCAATACCGTAAGAACAATTAAAAACCTGATTTGAGTTTAGACAACTGAAACCCTATTCTTCCTGTTAAAAAAAGCCCTACTCATTTCATTCACCTTGGTTGGTACCGAAGGAAAGATCTTCGGAGAAAGGGAAATAAATGAGAAATTAGGAAAATAAACTGACCTGTATAAGGAAATTCTTCCCATCTTCGAAAATGTAATTTCTGACACAAGAAAAACTGAGATCTGGCCATATGAGGAAAGAATGAGTTGCATTCCATATTTAGCAGTTCACTGAGTACTGACGGCAGGGTTTATGTTTCCGATTTGGGGACAAGAGCGAAAAATCAACAAAAAGGAAAATAAAAAATCATCAGAAATTAATATGAGTAAAATTTAGTTTGGTTCTATTTGGAAGAAAGTACCCACTCCACTGGTATTTCTCCACACACACAACCAAAAATAAAAAAATAAAAAATAAAAAATACCCACTGGTAGTTGTCGTGGATGGATGGTTCCAGAAAAAACAGATCCAATATTGGTTTTTAACTTTAAAAAAAAGTTTTATATGACATGAGTGCATAGACAAAGGCTGCTAGCATGGAAGAAGATGAAGAAAGATAGGAAGTTCCGTTATAATGTGAACAGTAGTGAGATGGTAGATACGAAGGAAGGCGTACCTTGATTGAATATTCAAAACCCAATTCGTCCTCTTCAACTGCTCAAGAAGATCTAGCAAGGACCATCAAAAGTCACGCTTTCAAACTCCAATCACAACTTAGAATAACTAATAATAATTATTACTATTAAATAATTTCAATAATATATGTTGAATTGTTATAAATAAAAATCATAAATCATATACATAAAAGAAAAGAAAAAACAAATTATATGTAACGGGGAGGGGGAAGAGGGAACAAAAAGGGAGTGTGTCTGATAGATGGATGAAGATCTAGTTGTGCACGGGTAGCAAAAATTACATATAAATAAAATAGCAATAAATAACATGTGGTTGTGAACTCCAGGAGCCACGTAGATCCATCCAGTAAGCTTGAATCACAAACAGAAAGACAACTGTAAGCGTGAGAAAGAGATGAGAAGAATATACAGCCACATCAAAGACGATAGAGGAGATATAGGATGATCCATGTACTAAATCCTGCAAGAAATGTGTCATATACATCTCTATCTATCTATGATCTATCAGGTCAGCTGGGATGGAAAAATAAAATATTTATAATTTTAAAAATTGAGTAAATGGAGAGAGAGAGATAGATAGAGAGAGATGTGTGATGGACATGCGTACCGTATGGATGAGGACATAAAAAAATGTTCTGGAGAGAGAGACACCTGGAAGAAGGATAATTGAAAGAGAAGAGGGGACCGTGGCCCCTGGCTTTACTTTCCTGCCTTTTTCCTGGGCCGCTGATGAGAAAGCATCTGTGGACAGTGCCCTTCTCTGTGAATTTAAGTGAGATAAAAGAATGGAAGGGCAAGGCCGGCGGCAGCAGCAGCAGCAGCAGCTGACAGAGAGAGAAGTGAGCACGCACCGCACCAAGGTATATGCTTTTATACAATTGCCTGCGTTTGTGTGCTCACTCTCTTCTGTCAGTAGCTTCAAGCTTGAGCTTCCCCTATTTTACTTCACTATATTCCACATCCACACACACACACCCACACACCCAGAGAGAGAGAGAGTCAGATCTGAAACCTAGCTTTCCGTTCACATTCACATCTATACATATTACATACTCCCCCACCCCTTCACTTAATTTTCTTCGCAAACTATACATGTAAACCACATACCAACATTTCAAATCCCTTGATTGAATGAACAAGATCTAGGGTTTCTTTTATATATCGACCTAACCCCGCATAAATAGTTAAACCCTTTTTACATGTTCTGTCAAAATTAAACAAAAAGTATGCATCTGCGATTTTTCTATAAGAAGAAGTAACTCCTTTTAAAGTAGAGAGCCAAGTTATCTTTTGTTTTTAACAATTTATTCCTTCCTAGTTAGCAGCAGCCTAGCTCACTCATTAAATGTTTTGTTGTTGGTTGCACACACTTGCACTAGGGTAGCGGGTTTGCAGGTATGATGAGCTCAGCGCGAACACACACACCACCTGCAGGGCCTTTCATCGATCGCATTTGACGGTGTGACAGCATATATTAATTAAAAGATGAGATGAGATGAGATGAGAGCATAAATAAATTGATTAACAGATAAACAAATCAATATAATTGACGGTGGAGAGAAGGGGATGAGGGAGATGAGGCACAGATCGATGGTGATAAATGAAGGAAAGAAGAGAAGACAGATGTGGGTTTGTTCTGGGTTTTTTTAAAGCTTTTTTGACAAGACCTGTTTGTTTGGTAGGAGAGTCGATGGAGCAATCTATCTCAGATCCTCGTCTCATTATATATCCATCCAATCCTCCGACAACTAAGTACCATTAGTAATTATGCATATATCTACAGTAATTCAATTCCTAAACCCGACCCCCCAACACACAGTTCAATTCTCTCAGATGATGTTGAAAGAGAAAAAGAGGGAGGGAGGGAGAGAGAGGTTAGGGATGGTGGGTGACGTATCGAATTGTACTGCTTTTGGTAAATCAATGGCAAGTAACAAGACTTGCTAGCAGTAGTTTGATGATGAAATTGAAACTAAGGGGGTGTATTGAATTGAGATTTTAATGGATTATTTTGAAGCTTAAAAGTACAACGGTATTTAATTATGATTTTTAAGTAATCAATAAAATGATGGTGGTATTCAATTATGATTTTAAAATAATCAATGCAAGTCCGGTGGTATTCAATTAGGACTTTTAAAAGATAAGAAAAAGTATCGTGGTATTCAAAAACTTAGTGATTTTAATGTATTTCATTAAATTGTGTATTGTGTGAGATTTTTGAGTGTGTAATACAAACAACAAATCACATAAGAAATCCCACCCTCATATGCTTGATTCTTATATATGCTCTCATACGTTTTTTCTTCGCATCATTATTTCATGCTTTCTACTGTGCAAAAAGATATAAATATAAAAACAAAAAACAAAAAACTCTTCAGCTGGTGGGCTCGTGTGTTTCGATTGGTTTCCCCTCCTACCTAGGTAGTGGTGGCATTAGTCCTGTGGTCTTGAGGTTGTGGCTGAAGCTGAGTGGTGGGTACTTTGGCTTAGACTTGGTTTTTTATTTTTATTTTATTCTTTAGTGGTCTTGCTGGAACTTTCGTGGTTCTTGGAGTGGACAAGCTAGCTATGTGGATTTGCTTTTCATTGTAGTTGCAGTTTTATGTTGTATTATTTTGCTTGTGAGAGTTAATGGTAGTTTTGCATTTGTAGTTTAGTGCTCATGTGAGTGGTGTTCTTGCATGTTATGTCTAGGCTCTCATTATCTTTAATGTATTCATTTTGGTCATGTGTGGTTATGTTGGGAGTTACATTGTTGATGTCAGTATACTTCCCTTGGACTAACATTTGATGGTTATTTTGCCACTATTTTTGTATTAACCCTAAAAATTGAGTATGTGTATCCTAAAAATTAGGCAAATTCCTTCAAGTTATGTATAGGTGATTGATGATGAGTGATAGAGTTGAAGCTTATATAAAAACATAAGTAAAATCACATAATTGCAATCTATCAAAATCATAAGTAAAATCATGTAATTGCAATCTATTAAAATCATGAGTAAAATCATATAATTAAAAATCCGGCTAAAATCCATTACATTAAAATCATGTAATTACAATCTATTAAAATTTCAATTGAATACACCCCCCTAATGCACTTTAATGGTAAAAGTGATAAACTAAAGTCATAGACCAAAAGTGATTTTTTTGCTGTTTATTTTCAAGTTATTGATTATGAAATCTTTACCTTCGTTTAAATAAAAATGTTATATTTAGTATTCTTAAATAATGATCTTGTTGATCTAAAAATCTTTTCGGTCACGTGTGAATTACTTAATAATAAAATGATGGAGTAGGCCGAGCAGATTTGGTGACACATACTTGTGCGTGGCGTGCCAGTACCACGGTCAGACTTAGTCGTGGATACGAATGAGTGATGGGTGTGCTATTGATCTTGACTTCTTTTCGAGCGACTATGGCCAAAATAGGAATATATTCTTGGTTGTAAGGTTCTAGGCCTTGACCGCAAGGCCTTTAGAATGAACATGCAGTTGGATAATGTCACCAAGCTCAATAGCTAGGTGGTGACATTGGACTTAAGAAATACGGATATCTGGGGTAACCTGTATGGATGGGATGGTGCAAAGAGTTAACTTTGAAAACAATGAAAAACTTGTTGATATATAAAATGAACGATCAAAATTGTGTTTGCCCACGAACTCATAAAGATTTCTGAGATTTTTCTAACAAGAGTTATCCTAAATCCTTAAGAAAAGTATTGCAAACTAGGAAGTACATGATAAAAAGATAAAATGGTGCATTTGAGTCATCGGGCTTGGTTAGGACCCTTATTTCTTCGATTTTGTTTCCATTTATACACCACCTCGCATCCCTCTTGGCAGAAAAAATCATGGTCATGCTCTAACATGCATCCAATCAGCTATGTGGCTTTCCTGGCAAGCTTTTACTTGTGATTGGTCAATATGGGCGGTGGAAAGGGTGAGTCTCGGCCGCATTCCAACCATAAAGGGAGGTGGAGAAGGCGATCCTTGGTGGCTTGGGCAATGCTTATTCCGACTTTACCTCGACCCCAGAATCTTGCTCTCTCCGAAGCAAGTCACTGTTTACTCCCACAGTCGGGTAAACAATCCTTCGGTTTGTTTATGTGGTCGAGCTTATCCTTGTTGACTTGCAATTTCAGGGGGCCCATCTTTTCCGGGCCCATGAGCGAAAAAAATCTTAGGGTCAGTTTGACATTGTTGTACTGTGAAAATAATCGTTGTCAAATTTGCTATGAGAGAAATTAGCTATGAGATAAAGCAGTTTGGCGTTTTGTGAACTTTTTGTTAAAAGTGTTGATACTAATTTCTGCATAATCAAAAAATGATTCCTGCATCCAGTGCCTCTTTGAAATTGATTCCTTTATAATCAGAAAATGAAAGCACCTAATTAGCTTCTTTCTCTTATAACTTTCTCTTACAACAATTTTTAAGAATAAATGATTTTCTCATAGTTTACCAAACGGGCTGAGCTTCCCAAATTTTTTAAAAATACTATCACCCCAAATAAGCAATGTCAAACGGGCACTTAATCTAAACAGATCTTAGTTTGTAAAATGCATTTTATTTAAGTTCTTTTATTTCCATAAACAACTTTTCACTATAATCAGAATTATGAATATGTATGACTGCCTAAGTTTGTATCCAAATCTATTTTATCTGTCAACTTCTTTTTTAATATAATTGATATTGAGAGAAGTGGAGTTTTGGCTGGGAGAATTTCCACCAGCTAACTTAACTTATTGTGATCGTGTCAATAGGTTAAAAAAGCCAGTCGTGTCTAAGACTAAGAAGATCTGAAAACGAAAAACGAGCGTTTGCCAATGCCAGAGACTAATTGGTATTTGACCAATATTTTTGGTGGGGTCTGGTTCTCCATGTTGATGTGAGGTAGCTAAGGGAAAAAGAATGGAGAGGAAGTGGGATTGCGTCAGACGAGGGGAGACATGATAAAGACGTGGATTAAAAATCTCCCTCCCATTTTCATCATGTCATCATATCATCTCTGCATATGCAGCAGATGCATTCCCATCCATATATGCATTCCCATAAATTACTATTTACCTAATCGCTAGTCACGACTCACGACAACTCTGCTTGACTTATATAGTAGAGTTGATTTTGTTTGCTGGAGAAGGAAAAGAACGTTGTGAAAACACAAATACACACGACATGAAATATAACCTAAAAGTCTGCACTCGTATTTCCTTTATATTGTTAATTTTGTCGTTATAACTTGGTTTTCTTTTCTAGGCATGTAAACTAGCTTTATTCAAATTATTGTTTATATTACAACCCAACCACCATCCGTCACAACCACTTGTACCACAACTTTGTCATGACCACCACCACCACACATCTGCTATCACCACCATTGTACCCTCCCACCATCGCCGCGTCCACCACAACCAACCCTTTGCCACCACCTTAAGGTCCTTACCACACCATCAATATCGCACATGATGACATTCACCTTCTTCATTTCTATCGTTAACAAATTTATCAACTATCACTTTTTAAACAATGAACTTTATAAATTTTATAACGTAAATTTTCGTCATTATTCAATTGCATAGTATTTTTTAAACTTATTTATCTATGTAGAGTTGGTGTTTATAAGTGTTTGTCATGAAGTGCTTCCAAATTCACTGTTGCCCCCACATTCCAAAATCCATTTCCGTAGGGTTCAATATTAATTTTAAACATTATAATTTGTAACGCAATTAACCCCATTAATTCCACCTCAAGAATTACCACTAGCATACACCACTTGTACCACTTGTACGCATGTCATTTTATTTTTACCCACGATTATTATCTCTTCATCTTCCACCACCGACCCACAACTTTAAAGTGTGATGTGATGGACAGCCTTCTGTAGCTAGCATTTACTTGCGTATAGTTGATTTTGCCACATTCCACGTGGGCGTATAGTTGATTCTGCCACATTCCACGTGGAACTACTAAACCCTTAATATTTTGAATAAATTAACATAAATTTTTAACAATTGTTTATTTCTAAAAATAAAGAAGAAGAAGAAAAAGGCAATTGTTAAATTGAATGATCGCAAGTTCAATTCGATGTCAACAACATAATAATCATAACAACCAACAACCATAGCCGATTAATAATAACGAATGTACTAATTAATAGTGACAATTAAATTATCCAATAAAGTTGGTACCTGCAGTCACTTCCATCAAGGATCAAGTTCCAATTCATTGAGGATTAAAATCCAACATTAACTCTGAATAATTATTCCCCAATATCCCGAATCCAGATGATGCATA